GGCGGAATTGGGCGCAAGCAAACGGAGCGCCACGCCTGGCTCACATCCCACGGAGTGGTAGTGGCACGGCTTACCTAGCACCATGGTAGTCACTGGTTGCTCGTCTTTCATTCATTATTAAATTGGCACCTTTACTTGGATGACGAGCAGACGATCAATTAGCTGAATTTGCATGTACTCGCTTTTAAGACTTGCTTTACTGTTTGCCGTTAAGGAAGCTTTTTACAAGCTTCTCCCTATCAGGCTCTTACGCCTTGCAGGTGGAGAACTTTTAAAAAGCTACTTTATAAAGCTTGACAACCGACAATGAAGGTAGAAAATGTCTGTACCTGATTCCAGCCTCTTGCACAACTAATCGAGCTCCTGTCATTGGGTTCATGAACTGTAAGTACTTGTTGCCCGGTACGCTTGCACTAATTACTAACCGCAGCCAACCACGGAACCAATCAAACAAATTCTTTGTCGGTGATTGCACCTCAGGCGTCTTGTTTCTGATAGGTTACACAACAGAATTCAGTGTCTTTTCGCTCGTACAGTTGCATTCGCACGAGTACATTACATGCATCAGTCTTAACTGCATATACAGAACCCTACGGGTGCCTTCCACGAGAACTGGTTTTCGATCCCTCAAATTAAATTAACCAAGTAATGAATCAAAGACTACATTCTGAACTAAAGTACGTTTTGACTCTTAAAATACTGTAAAACGCCTGTGGTTCACAGGTATGCTTATTTGTTAGCTTGCGCCCACCGAATCTGTGTATAGAAGTTCCCGTGACTGGCTCCAGTAGACTTCATCAGTCCGTTTTGTTGGAAAAGTAGATGCAACGAAGTACGACCTCGCCTTTGAATGCCTAGTCTTTCGTGGTGGATGCCACGCTTATCCATATTCTTGCTTTTAAAAAAAAGACCAAGCGATTACTCTGTGAGCATCCGAGTGTGACCATTTTTCTTTGCCTCCTCCACAATGCCATGAACAACTTCCTGTTCTTGGCCAACCTTCTGGTCGACTCGTTTGTTTCGCCTTTGGCCTGGAGACTTTCTGGATGCCCCTGCCATGGAGGTCGAGTCATGAATCAACTATGCACCCATCGCGTAGTGTGATGCTGTGACTGTCTCCAC